GACTTTCAACAGGAAATGTGAGTTCCTGGTCTCTGATTTTATAAAATAAATTTCTCCCAAAAAGTGTGACTTGTAGTCCGGTGCAACTTATGTTTTTTTCTGCGACTTATACTCCAGAGAGACATATAGTCCGAAAAATATGGTAGATTTAACCTTCTCCATGGATACAAACAAGCTGCTCCACCAGACCAAGTTACCTGTTAGATCTTTGGAGAGGCAAGCTTAAATACTTAAATTCCATACTGTTGAACATTTCAGACAAAGCAATAATAGTAAAAGGTTTTGCAGTGCACCTTTTAACTTTTAATTCATACAAAAATGGTTAAATACTGTGATAGCTGGACAGGGCTGGGTACCGAAACTCGATTCCAAGCAGCAACTGACCAACAAGTTTCGGTAAGTACTGGTACCGAAAAACTAACATTTGTTCAGTGTCAACTTTCGGGTCCTTGGCTTTAAATGCGAGCGTCAATGAGCCAATAAATACACCTCACTGATTTATTTAACAGCAGCGCAGATGCTCACGCATCACGATGCACTCTGAACAAACGTATGGCCCAACAACGTTTAACATAGGCCTATATGTGTCCAAACAAAGCAATGTGTTATTTTACTGGTAAAACAGAGCAGCTGAAGAAACAGAGTGAAACTTATATCCACTCCTAAACACATCATGTCTCCAGTGTGAGTTTTGTGTGTCTCAAAGTCAAAGTGTGTAATAATAAATCCACAGCCAGTCACGTAAAGTTGAAGCCAAATAAATAACATTAGCAAAACTCTGTCAACATCCTCCTCAGTCCTGGTAAAAGCATGATTCCTAAAGAACTGAGGTGTAGTAAATATATCCAGTGTGGAGCACGTGTGTGTAAAGATGCATCCAAACAAATCTGTGTAAAGTTCTCCATAATCCTCCGCTCAAGTAACCACGTCATAAAAGAGTAATGATATTTATCAAAACAATGAGTGCATGCTCCGTGCGCCGCATTTGCTATAACGTGCGTTGTACGAAGAAAACAAAAGTGAAACTTAAGCACGTGTGTGTCCATGTGAGGATCTGCTCTGCGCTCTGGTTCATTTGCATACGTGTTTGTTTTAACTAAACATATAATAGTCTACTCTGTTTTAAAATATGAATTAACATAGTTATAATTTAATTCAAGGATTGAAAAATATTTTATTAATAATATTGGTCATTAATTTGCATTTTAAAAAAATACAGGCACCGAAAAAGGAGCCAGTATTGAAAAGCAGGTATCGTTGAAGTGCTGGTATTGAAAAAAATCAAACGGTACCCAGCCCTATCCCTCTACTACTGCAGACCCTGTGTTGAAAGACAAGATGAAACAACAGTGAGATTACACTGACGTCAACTGGACGTGTGAATTTCCACAATTCACATTTGAATTACGTTTCTTCACTCTGAAATATAGGGGGCGCTACAGAGAAAATCAGGAAAAATTTAGAAAAAGCATCACAAGAAATTGGTACTGCATTTTCATCATTACAGTTTTTCTTAAAGGCTCTGTACCTGATTTTCCCCCATGTCTTGCCCCAGTACAGACTGACTGTACAAGCAGCTCTTGAGGTCAAAATAATAAGAAGATATCTGTATGCTGTCTCCATCTAATTAAATAGTGTTTTATTGTATGATAATTAAGTAGTGATTAGCATGCTAGTTGTTAGCTGTATCATGACGTAAACTCCGCTCTGGTCTCTGAAAGTTGTGAGATGCATTCATAAACTCATTGTGGTGAATAATTCAGATGCTCAGAATTAGGGATGGGCATGATTAGTCGATTAATCGATAATTGATCATTAAGAATTTCATCGATTACGTTAATTTTAATTGACAAACTGAATGTAGGTAGCTGTGCGTAGCGTGACCAAACGGGGGTCTGTACATGTGTCTCTCTGCATCAGAAGGAGCGAGACACAAACAGTCAGTCAGCCTGCAACGTACTGAAGTGCAAATGTGTATTTAACGATGACTTGTACAAGAAATTCCGCGCTTTCCGTTGCGTTCAGGACAAGTGTGAGTCCATGTGCACAGTGTACAAAGCAGCACATATGTTTCGGTGTCCAGTGGGAAAAAGTTTTGCCAGGTGAGAGTCGCGCAATGTCGATGACGAGGCCCCACCTCCCTCCCCCCGTACGGTGTCCTGGTTTTGACAAACGCAAATCTGGTCACACTAACCTGTATTCCACTGAGTCATGTCTTTTAATCCGACAGAAATTGAACCGCCTCAGCGACACAAGAGCTGTAGTTTTATCTTCGCTTAGTTTATGCAAATTAGTGATGCGGTTTTAAGTTTAGTTTCTGTGAGAGTTGCGCAAAACTGAATTAAACACATTATAATGTCAGACGGATTGATGTGGCTCTAGAGTGGTTACGGTTTATATGTCGTAAAGTTGAATTTATTTATACAGATTAGTAGTGCAGATAGTAATAATAATAATGATCATTTTAATATAAAAACATTAATGATTAATCGATAATCGATCGTTAAATCTTCCGACGATCGATTAAGAAAATTTCATCAAATGCCCATCCCTACTCAGAATGCATAAAGTGAAGAAGAACTTTGTATCACTGCAAACTGTTTACAATGAACTAATTCTGTTTTTTAAGGGTTACAATCAGGTACAGAGCCTTTAATTACATCGTCCATTGTAGCCAGGTCATACATTACCACTATTACACATCAAAATAAAATACTGTAGATAGGATACAGTCTAATAAAATAATTTAAAATAATATACCAAACAGAAATGTGCTGGTCTTCTCATTCACTCCCTGTTCTAATGCCGTCTTTGGCTCACTCACATCGAACTGCTCGATTCCTAGCAGTAATGCAGTACCCAAATACTTTATGTACCCAATTCGAAGTACCCAAACATGCTACTTCTTCGTCTTGGTTTCTGCCTTCTCTGTGGATAATTCAAAGGGGCTGTAACCAAAATGTGTCTTGCCCCAGTACAGACATATTGTAAAAGCAGCTCTTTGGGTCAAAATGAAACTGCTTTGTGTTGTCTGCATTGAATTATAAAGCTGTTAGCATGCTAGTTGTTCTTAGCGTTACCATGACAGCAAAACTTAGCTTTGAAATGAAGTATTTCCGTTTTTAATGTTTTTTAAGACAGTAAAAAGCAGGTACAGCCCCTTTGACTTCAACAACACCAACAGAGCGTGGCATTTTCCCATTAAAATATCAATAATATATTTCAAGTTATAAAAGTGAAATAAAAAATAACAAAGTGACAACATAAATAGAGCAGGCAAAAGTAAATATTTAGCTTTTTAAACAAGGACGCCTTCAGACCTTTTCATCTTAAAGTGGAACTAAACACTAAATCTACTTTTTTGTTAATAAACTGTTTATATGGCGTATGAATTTTGGGGCAAGTTGTGTCAGTTTTAGTGCAAACTCTGTCAATCTGCAGCTTTGTGTTCAAAATAAGGCTGTGCTACTAAGGTAAAGTACTACGTGACACTACATAAAACTGTCCAGATTACAGTCAAGTGTTTCTGATGACAAATACCTGGCTGCAGGGGCGGGGTTTGAAGTGTGGTTACTTCACACACTGCTCCTTATACCTCTGGACCATAGACTGTTAATTGACTAAAACGCCACATTCCAAACAGGAAGTGGGCATGGACAGACGTCTGCTCCATCGACTCTTGGTCTATTCACTTTATATTAAAACTTTCGCCTCTCTGTTCATGTTAATCAATGATCCTGGTGTTTTTATTTCACTATTTTGTCTGTAAATCAGGATATGATTTGTGTACAAAATAGTTTTTTTTTTTTTTTTGTTTTTTTTTTTATTTAGGTCTGATTGACAGTGTTCATGGAAGGGGCATTACATTCAACAGCCTCACTATTGATTGGCTCTCTGGTTGCCATGACACTTATGGTCAGAATTCCAAATATAACCCGCCAACCTCAATGAGCTTAATTTGGCTGAAACTTAAAGTTAAAAACTCCCCCCTTTAGTCCTCCAGACCCCGCCCCTCCTCCTCTCACGTCACTCTCCCCGTTAGTCCTCCAGACCCCGCCTCTCCTCATCCTCATCGCTCACTTTCCCCTTTATTCCTCCAGACCCCACCCTCCTTCTCCCCCCTCACTCTCCCCTTTAGTCCTCTAGACCCCACCCCTCCTCCTCATCCCTCACTGTCCCCTTTAGTCCTCCAGACCCCACCCTCCTCCTCATCCCTCACTTTCCCCTTTAGTCCTCCAGACCCCACCTCCTCCTCATCCCTCACTCTCCCCTTTAGTCCTCCAGACCCCGCCTCTCCTCCTCATCCCTCACTTTCCCGTTAGTCCTCCAGACCCCACCCCTCCTCCTCATCCCTCACTCTCCCCTTTAGTCCTCCAGACCCCGCCTCTCCTCCTCATCCCTCACTCTCCCCTTTAGTCCTCCAGACCCCGCCTCTCCTCCTCATCCCTCACTTTCCCGTTAGTCCTCCAGACCACGCCTCTCCTCATCCTCATCGCTCACTTTCCCCTTTATTCCTCCAGACCCCACCCTCCTTCTCCCCCCTCACTCTCCCCTTTAGTCCTGTAGACCTCACCCCTCCTCCTCATCCCTCACTCTCCCCTTTAGTCCTCCAGACCCTGCCCCTCCTTCTGATCCTTCACTCTCCCCTTTATTCCTCCAGACCCTGCCCCTCCTTCTGATCCTTCACTCACCCCTTTATTCCTCCAGACCCCACCCCTCCTCCTCATCCCTCACTCTCCCCTTTAGTCCTCTAGACCCTGTCCCTCCTCCTCATCCACCACCTTCCCCTTTAGTCCTTCAGATCCTGCACAGTTGAGCAGCTCTATTTGAACTTTAGTTGTGTGCAGAGTTTGATGTTTAGTCCCACTTTAAATGAAACATTTGAACCATTTTACACTTGGCTACATTCATTTTTTCGAGTCTTTTTCCTTCATTCACAAAACACACACTCCACCAAAAAGTGCATCAAGTTCCTTTTTTCTCTCTGTCTCTCTCCTCAGGCCGATTATCCTTCTTCTCGTCCGGCTCGGAAAACCTGCACCGCGTGGAGAGGGTCACCTGGGGCACCCGCTACGCCATCACGGTCTCCTTCACCTGTGACCCAGCCCACTCCATCGCCGACCCCTCGCTGCCAGCCCCGTGAGGCACCCGCGGGCGACACACCGGCCAGCGGCTACCACGCACCAGCCCTGGAACAGACAGAGACACGAAGACCACAAAGACCAGTCAGGAAGTTATTAAGAGGAACGGACCCTCTTTTTTGCAGAGGGAGTTTTTTTATTCCCATTTTCCATTACTGATGATCACTTTTTATAATTCTGATTGTTATGTGGCACAGTATTTATGTTCAGATGTTTTTCAGATGTATGTTGATAGGAAATTCTGTAAAGGTTGAACCTGATCATTAGGGCTGTGCCAAAAATCATAAAATCAATGAATCGCGATCTCGGTGATAAGGCATTTTATCGGCAGCTCTACAGCCAATCGTGCGGCAGAATGAGGACTTAAAGGGACAGTCCAGAATTTTTGACTTATTTCCTCGTGAGCCAGAATGTTGGAGACGTGTAGAGACACTTTTTGAAATATTCCATCCAGTCCTTATATTTGCTAGGTGCTAGGCTAGTGCATGTCAATGGCCATAGTTATCCTGACACCAAATACAGTCTTACCCACTCCACAAAACACCCAAATTAAATCTATTCATTTCTCTCCAGCAACTCTGTCAGGAATCAGAATACACTGGTTCGCAAAAATTCCGGAAATGAGGCACCAGACAATCAGCAAAGAGCCATACATTCTGTGTTGGCAACGATTCCCATGGTCGAGGATTTAAAGCCAGAACAGAGAGAATGTTTGGTGAATTTCATCAAGGGGAAAGACATTATTGCCCTTCTTCCTACATGTATTGGGAAAAACTTAATATACCAGTTAGTCCCGTTAGCTGCGCATTACATACATCACGACCAAATATCAGCGACTGGTTAAATGAAAAAAAGTACCCGCCTACTGTCGAGCGAAGAAATTCCAATGCTGTGAGGTCAGACGGTTTCTGCAAAGTAAAATGAGCTGATGAAGCAGGCTAGATGGAAATGTCTGTGTTGATAAAATAATGTTTGAAATAAAACTAACCTTGCATCGCATGAATCGTCACATGTTGAGGGACTATTTTCTCAGCAGTGGTGGAATTTTACTTTGCCCTTAAGATAAGTGCTAGGTGATCAGTCCGCTGCTGCCGAGCTATCTATCAGGAAGTACAACTCCCTGCTGCGGCTCAGACAGAAATCCTTCAAATGCAAGGTTGATTTTACTTCTAAAATTCTTCTGTCGACACAAACATTCACATCAACAGTCTGGCGTAATACCGTATTTTCTGACCTTATTAGGAGCTCTGGATTATAAGGCGCACTGTCACATGATCTATTTTTGAACTTTTTTCACAAATAAACCGCACCGGACTTTAAAGGAAACACAACAGTTGGATGTGTCAGTGGGACTTTGTTTGTGGCGTTCACGGTGACTCTGGGCTTTGTTCAGTTGTGGCGTGTAGGGAGGGGCTGTCTGGGACCAACGGATTGTCGGCGTGTTCGCAGTGACTCAGTTGTTCAGTTGTGTCTAGAAGTGGCACATTGCACTCGCTTTTTTCGGTTCGTTCCTCCGTTCCGTTCCTCGTCGTCGTGGAGTGATGAGTGTGTCTGTGGGTGTTTTTCGCTGTGCGGTTGCTGTCTGCTCCGTGTGTGTTTGCGTGTTTTGCGGGTGATGCAGCTTTGTAGTTTACTGAAGTCGTGCTGGGACACCTGAGTGGATTCGTGTATAGGGTGCTCTGGATTGTGGGGCGCGCAGTTGTTTTTTGATGGGGCTTAAGAGCGCGTCCAATAGCCCGGAAAATACGGTAATAGATTTTCTTCGGGTGTTTTGTGGAGTGGGTAAGACTGTTTTTAGTGTCAGGATAACTATGGCCATTGACATGCACTAGTCTAGCACCAGTGACCTCTGCAAACACAAGGACTGGATGGAATATTTCAAAAAGTAACTCCACACGTCTCCAACACTCTGGCTCACTAGGAAATTAGGTCCTACGTCCAAAATTACAAACTGTCCCTTTAACGTCACAGTGCGTCTGTTTCCTCAGGAGTCCTCATGTTTCACAAATTTGGACTCAAATTTGCTTAAATTTACTAAAATTCCAGTGTCTCCTTCTCTCTGTGTCTGTGTTCGGCGCTGTCGGCCCCGCTCACCCTTTCTGGTTCAGTTCCTCACCTTTTCTCCTCGTTCTCTCTGATCATTGTAATCCAAGTTACGGAAAGTTAATGACGTCCATTGTTTGTTTTTTTTTATTTCAATTAAGAATGAAAAACAATAAAATGGGAAAACAGTTTGTTATTTCATTTTCCGTTTTAGTGTCAAACAAAAAAACAGATTTCGACCTCTATTTTCCAATATTTAATTAAAAGTTTATTTCAAAACTGTCTCGGTGCCTATTTTAATTTTGATATTTTTTTCTCTCTGGTTTATTTGTCTTTGGAAATTCTGCTGCAGTGTCAACCATGGATCCATAATAAAAACTATTATAGATTATATTTCGGCAGTATCAGATGAACAAAGGAGAGTTTATCGCTTCTTGTTTCTCGTTGTGGAGTTCAACAATGACTTTCTAAGACACGAAAGTAAACGTGTCGCTGTAAAAGAAGACGACACATTCGTCTACGAAACTGCAACCATTTTTCAGGTAAATCCTTCTAGCAGCAGAACTTCTGGGACAAATAAACCAGAGAGAATAAACTATCCAAATTAAAATAGGCACCGGGATAGTTTTTTCATTAGTGTTATTTGAACTAAGCTTCAAAATAAATATTGTAAATAGAGGTTGAAACCTGTTTTGTTTTGGGGTTTTTTTTTACACTAAAGCGAAATAGTGAAGTAACAAATGTTTTCCCATTTTATTGTTTTTCATTCTTAATTCAAATTCAAAAGAACAAATGGTACACGGACCATTTTCTCACCATTTATGACTAAAACTTAAGTCCTGATTTAGTGCACTGACATTGCTCACGTTTCTGTTGATAGCGGTGGCTTTTGCTTATGCTTTTAGGTTTAATATTTTGTATACAAACTTTAAATGTGGATTTTTCAGACATTATTGGTTCTATTAACACAAAATGAAAACTGTAATGATCCTGACAATATCAATTTTCAATGAGATGGAAGAAGATTGAACCAAAAATCAAGATCGATCAATATGGGAAAAATAAATTGTGATTCTTTTTTCCTTATATTGCCCAGCCCTACTGATCATGTAAATTAGTGACTCAACCCATTGTCCTAATACATTTAAAGGTCCTATAGTATGCAATTTAACTCTAATGTTGTCAAAAACAGACCAGGAGTTGTGTTTTGTTTCAGTCACATGCTTCAGTAACACTGCATCATTAGTTTGTCTACATCAGGAGTCTCCAACCTGTAGCTTGGGAACTATCAGTAGCTCTCTGCCCCTTTCCAAGTAGCTCGCCAAAGGATTTTAGAATTTTACTTATTGTGCTGGATTGATTAAATGTAGAGTGACCAGACATCCTAGTTTACCCAGGACAGTTCCAGTTTTGAGCCGTGTCCCCTGTCCCAGCAGATTTATCGAAAACCACTGATTTGTTCAAGTTTTGTTTTCAAGTTTTCAAGAAATGTCCCTGGTGTTCCTATTTTTGACCAAGTTAATCCCTGCCAACAGTAAAGAGAGGCATAAATTGTCACTTGTTTAGGTAAAATACAGAAAAGCTGCTTAAAATGACCAAAACCAAAGAAAATGTGACTGTATTGACTCATGTTAGTTGGGCCGAGTGCAGAACAATTCTTCTTAATTACACACTTGACTCACAATTCACGAGGATGTCCTGAGCTGGAGTTTTTGATTTTGAAAATCTGGTCATCCTAATTAAATGCCCTTTACCACTGTAAATGTATAATCTTGATGCATAACTTTTACACTAGTGAATGTTGAATGAATTAATCTAATTGTACCCTTCTAAGGCTCACCGTGGCCCTTAATTTCTTGTGACCCCTAAAACTAGTAACTCTCTGGCATTTTCGTTTTGTAAAAGTAGCTCACTAGACGAAAAAGGTTGGAGACCCCTGGTTTACATCTCCAAAGCTCAAAATGCTCTGTTCCATCTTGTGATGTTATGAAGCAGTAGTTTTCAGTTAAGAGCTTCTTTAACCTTGGTTCAGTACAGATTATAAATTCCAGGGCTGAAATGATCCAAATGAATCTAGTGAAGGTGTATGGAGGTTAAAAACACAATGGAGCACTTCCTGTATTACCACATGACATCACAAGGTCGAACAGTGTTTTTTTCTGTTTGAGAGAAGAACTCGGTCTCAATTTGCAGACAAAACAAAACTCCAGGTCTGTTTGTGATGAGGAAACATTATAACAAATCAGAAAATAGCACAATATGGGCCCTTTAATATTCATTCCACAAAATCTACGGACAAATAGAAACATTTACAGGACCCCATGTTGACCAGAGGAATCTGAAGTCATGACATACAAAGAATCAGAATTTTTTTGAGGGGGCCATATAAAGCTACCATTTGTAAATAGACTGGCTGACCCTCCCCTTTTGCATTCTCACATATCACCACTAGAGGCTGTCCATGTTAATGCTGTTTGAAAGTGTGCCAGCTTTAGTGTGACAGAAGAAAACCACAGAGCACAGGTGACGGAAGGTACAGGTTTCACATTTGATATTTAGTGGTGGAAAAAAAATAAATAAATAAATAAACTTACATGTGATGGTAGCTTTAAAGCAGCACTATGCAAATGTTTAAAATGTATCTTGATCTTAACTGTTACTTTTCTGGTGCAGGGGTCCGTGTTATTGATTTGCCTGGAATGTTGACCAGTATGACATTAGTCTTTCGTGATATTTTTGTGACCTATAAACTAGAAGTCGACCAATATGTATTTTTTCATGACTGATGCCTATTGTTACGAACCCAGAGCAGCTGATACGGATGGATATAGATGATTTTGCCCAAATTATATCATTTGACGTTACAATAAACTCATCCACAGCCATGTTTTACTACAAATTCAATCCAATCCACTTTATTTCTATAGCACATTTCATAAAGAGTTTCCAAAGTGCAGCACAAATATATAATAATAACATCAATAATAATGTAAGGATAAAATAAACACTCAGATTGAATAATACTAGTCTTAAAACAATAAAACAAGCAAAATAAAATCAGAGCAAAACCATAGAATAGCAATAAATAAGTAAAACCAATAAAATAAAGTACACAAAGGACCACACGACTCATCCGGTGTTAAAAGCCAGAGAGTAAAATTAGGTCTTAAGATGAGACTTAAAACACTCCAGTGGGGGTGTGGAGGACAAAGTGGATAAGAGCTGTACAGCCACATTTTGTGCAGTGTCCTGTTTGTGGTCAAGTGTTCAAATGAGGTTTTATGCATGTGCAGTATTTTAGGCAGCTGTCTGACCCAAACAAGACATCGGCCTGTGCTACAGATTTACGCCTGGTAGTGCAAAGTGCAAATATCAGCTCTCTATCTAAACTAAACACACCCATTATGAAATAAAAAACACAGACTGTATCTTGCTGAGTTTCAGATGACATCACAACATTCTATAGGTCAATATAATTTAATACAGATGGGGGCAGATAAAATGAATACTAATTAACTGCAGATTTTTGTTGTAATACAGCATAGTCTTGAGCAGACCTGGGCATTGTCCAGCTCCCGGACCCCATACAGCCTCTGACCATCCTGTTTAAACTCATTTGGAATTAGAAAATAAATATATTTTATAATTTGACCTCCTGCATGGACTAAAGCTGCATTACTTTTATTTTAGAGGTGTTGTTTTAATGACATTTTTTGTAAGGTAGTCTCACTTTTTTATTGCTTAGTCATAACATCAGGGTTCCCATGGTCATGGAATTCCAGGCCTGGAAAATTCATAGAATTTTGTAAATTAAATGAAAGTTTTGGAAAAGTCATGGAATTTTAGTATCTCATTCACGCACCTACAGCCTTCTGTTAAATTCTCATTAGACTATTCAGATTATTTTTGAACATTTGCACCTTTTGTTTAAAAGAGACGACAATAAATGCACTCACAGTATTTTAAATGTTCAAAAACTATAATCTCAAACCATAAGGTGAGTGGAAAAGGTTAACATTTTATATTTAGCTCTAAAGGTCTGATCAATTCTACACATGTAGGAGCTGTAAAGTCATGGAAAATTCACGTTAGGTCATGAAAAATTCATGGAAGATTTTGGAAATTTTGTCAGTAAAAAAGAGTGGGAACCCTGTAACACAGGGTTGTCCAAACTTTTTTCGTCAAGGGCCACATATCTAAACACAGACGAAGCAGAGGGCTGATCGAGGCGAGTCAATAATAGAAATGACCAGGGTCCATATTTCCAAATCAGGCTCTTTCTTTCCCTGAGGTCACTCCCACGGGAGTTAGCAACAGGTTTGATTGACAGCGTTGCTAAGCGCCCGTTCCCTGCCAAACCAGCCGAAAAGAGCCGTTACATTTATCATATTTTTCAGAATATAGGGTGCATTGGATGATAAGGCGCATATCAGTAATGTTGAATTCTCTCGTCCAGGTGCACTGGATTATAAGGCGCATTAAGTGAAACGGACGACACTTGAGACTGATCCTTAGCCCAGGTGTCCACAATCCATTAGCAGATCGTGACATATTTTGCCCAGTGTTGTCTCCCTGTCTTGGTGAATGTGGATTATGAATGTGAATGTGGGTGGATCATTTAAGTTTTTTTTGTTTTTTGTTTTATTTCCTATATACATTGAGTAATAATGTGTTTAATGCAGCTTTGTGCACATTTGTTTACGTTTACAGAAACGAAACTTAAAACCACATGGCTCATTTACATAAACTATAAGTGCTGAAAAAAAACTGCTCACTCCTTGTGTGCTGATACGGTTCAGCTTCTGTCGGACTTCACGAGGCTCCTGACTACAGTAGCCGTAATGCTCTTGACAATCCATCAAGCGGTGCGGCTTTGTAGTTTACCAAAGTTGTACTAAAACATTTTGACAGATTTTTGAGCGCCGTGTACCACATAAAATCTGTTCGAAGTCAGTAAACACAACCAGAATTAATACATAAGGCGCACTGGATTATAAGACGCACTGTGGATTTTAGAGAAAATGAAAGGATTTGAAGTGCGCCTTATAGTCCCCGTCCACAATATGTATGTACGTTTTTGAGTTGTTTGCGTTGTGGATGCAGTGTTCGTTCACACTAATCCCATTGAAAACGGTTCCAGGGACGGAACGATCTGGTGCTTCCAGCTCCCACAAATTCATCTGATCCGGCACTGTGTGGACACCTGAAAACGCTGATGTAGGTCTATGCACCACGAAATAATTCATCGCCAAAACGCTAAGAGGCTAGAATATATGTCCATTCATGTATACGGCCTGTGTGTACGACCTGCAGACGTATAATCTCTAAAAAGTTTGACATGAATCATCTCAAACACGACAGAAGCACAGAACAGACTCACCATCAGCAGAACACCCCTCTGTCACAGAAAGAACACTCATATTCCACTGAGTCGTGTCCTTTAGTCCGACAGAAGCTGAACCGAATCAGCGCTCAGTTTATGCAAACTAGCCAGGCGGTTTTAAGTTTCGTTTCTGTAAAACGTAAACACATATTCTCAAAGTTGTGTGGATAGGGAAGACTTGCGGAAACAGAAACGAGATGTGTGGACGCAGATCGTTTCCGATACAGTGATACTCGGATTTGTTTCAGTGTAAACGGTGTAATAGTCTGAAAAATACAGTAATAGTCTCGCTCTTGGCTCTTTGGTTACTATGACACTAACGGTCGGAATTCCAAATGTGAAACTCTGCTCCAGATTCACCCCTATAACAGTCAGAAACAATGAGCTTCATTTGACTGGAGTTGAACGCTACAGGTGACAGACTCTTTTAGTCCACTTTTTAATTCACTCTATAATAAAAACTAAACCTAAAAGTTGTACTCTGCATTCCAGGCAAAAATAAAAACAACTTTCCATTATAGAGCCTTTTAAGAAAAACTGTGCTCAGTGTGTGCCAAGTTTTCTACCAATTATCAAATTAAAAACGTTTGCCAAATGTGTATTACTGTTCATAAAAGTTGAGTTTGATGATACAAAATAAAACCCGCTGTGTGGAATCAATACAAATGACTGTACACTGTTTTTGAATCACTCAAAGAGCGCAGACTGTGGGTGCAGATACTTCCTGATCGCACAATATATCAGAAAGGTTGTGTTCTGAAATAAATTTTGTGAAAATGAGCAACCAAATTACTCCACCATTAGAAAAACTTTTAGTACGTTTTGAATGTTTGATCATTTCCTTGTACTTTTCTTTTTTATGCTTTAGAAATACAAACTAAGTCAGTGTAAAACCTCTTTTACACGTGTCTTGCCTAAGGTGAACACATAATCAAAATTCAAAACTGGGACACACTCGGGTTTGGATGTTTGGTTTGAATAAAAGTGTGAAAAGAGCGTGGAACATTGTGCATCCTCGTGTCAGTCATAATCTGAGGGGCTTCTGACGCTGCATTTTTGTGCTTTATAGACATTCGCAAACTCAGTTTTCTGCGTTTTAGTGAAATGAATGACAATTTATGCTCCTCTTTACTGTTGACAGGGATCAAATTAGTTAAAATTGGTATAGTCCTGTTTTAGTCCTGGTTTAGTCTTCGTTTAATCCTGGTTTAGTCTTAGTTTAGTCCTGTTTATTCCTGGTTTAGACCTGATATAGTCCTAGTTTAGTCTTCATTTAGTCCAGGATTAGTCCTGTTTTAGTCCTGTTTTAGTCCTGGTTTGGACCTGATGTGGTCCTGGTTTAGTTTTAGTTTAGTCCTGGTTTAGTCTTACTTTAGTCCTGGGTTAGACCTGATGTAGTTCTGGTTTAGTCTTCATTTAGTCCTGGTGTAGACCTGGTTTAGACCTGGTTTAGACCTGATGTTGTCCTGGCTTAGTCTTAGTTTAGTCCTGGTTTGGTCTTAGTTTAGTCCTGGTTTAGACCTGATGTAGTCCAGGCTTAGTCTTAGTTTAGTCTTGGTTTAGTTTTAGTTTAGTTCTGGTGTAGACCTGGTTTAGACCTGATGTTGTCCTGGTTTAATTTTAGTTTAGTCCTGGTTTAGACCTGATGTAGTCCTGGTTTAGTCTTAGTTTAGTCCTGGTTTGGTCTTAGTTTAGTCTTGGTTTACACCTGGTTTAGACCTGATGTTGTCCTGGTTTAATTTTAGTTTAGTCCTGGTTTAGTGCTGTTTTATTGTCCTGGTTTAGACCTGATGTAGTCCTGGTTTAGTCTTAGTTTAGTCCTGGTTTGGTCTTAGTTTAGTCTTGGTTTAGACCTGATGTAGACCTGGTTTAGTCTTAGTTTAGTCTTGGTTTAGACCTGATGTAGTCCTGGTTTAGTCTTAGTTTAGTCCTGGTTTGGTCTTAGTTTAGTCTTGGTTTAGACCTGGTTTAGACCTGATGTAGTCCTGGTTTAGTCTTAGTTTAGTCTTGGTTTAGACCTGATGTAGTCCTGGTTTAGTCTTAGTTTAGTCCTGGTTTGGTCTTAGTTTAGTCTTGGTTTAGACCTGATGTAGACCTGGTTTCGTCTTAGTTTAGTCCTGGTTTAGTCTTAGTTTAGTCCTGGTTTGGTCTTAGTTTAGTCTTGGTTTAGACCTGGTTTAGACCTGATGTAGTCCTGGTTTAGTCTTAGTTTAGTCCTGGTTTAGTCTTAGTTTAGTCCTGGTTTGGTCTTAGCTTAGTCTTGGTTTAGACCTGGTTTAGACCTGATGTAGTCCTGGTTTAGTCTTAGTTTAGTCTTGGTTTAGACCTGATGTAGTCCTGGTTTAGTCTTAGTTTAGTCCTGGTTTGGTCTTAGTTTAGTCTTGGTTTAGACCTGGTTTAGACCTGATGTAGTCCTGGTTTAGTCTTAGTTTAGTCCTGGTTTGGTCTTAGTTTAATCTTGGTTTAGACCTGGTTTAGTCCTGGTTTAGTCTTAGTTTAGTCTTGGTTTAGACCTGATGTAGTCCTGGTTTGGTCTTAGTTTAGTCTTGGTTTAAACCTGGTGTAGTCCTGGTTTGGTCTTAGTTTAGTCTTGGTTTAGACCTGGTTTAGACCTGATTTAGTCCTGGTTTAGTCTTAGTTTAGTCTTGGTTTAGACCTGATGTAGTCCTGGTTTAGTCTTAGTTTAGTCCTGATTTGGTCTTAGTTTAGTCTTAGTTTAGACCTGGTTTAGACCTGATGTAGTCCTGGTTTAGTCTTAGTTTAGTCTTGGTTTAGACCTGATGTAGTCCTAGTTTAGTCTTAGTTTAGTCTTGGTTTAGACCTGATGTAGTCCTGGTTTAGTCTTAGTTTAGTCCTGATTTGGTCTTAGTTTAGTCTTAGTTTAGACCTGGTTTAGACCTGATGTAGTCCTGGTTTAGTCTTAGTTTAGTCTTGGTTTAGACCTGATGTAGTCCTGGTTTAGTCTTAGTTTAGTCCTGGTTTGGTCTTAGTTTAGTCTTAGTTTAGTCTTGGTTTAGACCTGATGTAGTCCTGGTTTAGTCTTAGTTTAGTCCTGGTTTGGTCTTAGTTTAGTCTTAGTTTAGACCTGGTTTAGACCTGATGTAGTCCTAGTTTAGTCTTAGTTTAGTCTTGGTTTAGACCTGATTTGTCAAAAATAGAGACATCTGGGACATTTCTTGTATAAAACCGGGACAAATCTGTGGTTTTGGTTAAATCTGCTGGGACAGGAGACACAGGACTCAAAACTGGGACTGTCCCGGGTAAACGGGGGCATCTGGTCAGTACAGATTTATTGCATAAGCAGCTCTTGAGGTCAGTTATTCTCATCATAAAGCGTGTTATGGTCCAGTATAAGGTAAGTCCGGAATAACTTGTTAAGAAATCTGGAGCAGTTCCTTTAAATGTTCTATATTACACTAAATTGATTTCCGTGAGATTTAAGTCACGTTTGAAAGTTGTTGCGTCGTCCAAAACATACCTGGAGTTGTGTTTTGTTTCATTCACACATCAGAAACAGCATTATAACATGCCAGATCATAATTGTTGGAAATTGTTGCAGCATTAAAACTGAGCAACACATTACGGTTTGTTGTTTCTTTTTGTGCAGACTTAATCGTTCCAGCAGGGAAATTGTCTTCATCTTTTAACAACACTGCAATCATAAGCGTCTGGAACAGTGGGTGATCAGAAAACAGCACCTAGGGACTCCTCTTTTCAAGCTCCATTTACAGTCAGGAGTACTTAGCTGGAGTTTTATGGTGTTCTTTGTGTGTACACTGATGAGGGAAACTAGAGGATAAACGCCCAGATAAATGTCCAAGTGGTTTTGAGACAGGCCAAAATTCAGGGGTGGAAAGTAGCTACCGTATTTTTCAGACTGTACGTTGTACTTTTTTCATGGTTTGGGTGTGACTTATATATTAAAATGTTCACACTGACAGGGGTGAGAGGCTCTAGTCTTGTGTGTCAGTATCTGCTGCTCCTGTTCCTCCTGTACCACTGTCACTTGGCTCTACTGCACATGTCTCCTGCAGAAAGAGCCTCTGTCCTGTCTGTATCATGTCAGTCGATCGCACCATTACTTCTGCACCACTGAACATTTAACATTTATAAAGACGACTGAGAAGACTGAACACAAATGCCCCCAAAAAGAAAATCTGATTTTGCAGATTACAAGCTGCAAGTCGTGAAATCTGCAGCCGAAAACGGGAATCGAGCAGCGGAAAGAAAGTTTGGAGTGAGAGAGAAACTTGTGACACCAGGAGGATGAAACATGAAACTTTCCTGAAGTCACTGGATGGATGGACAAAGCCTGGACTTCAGTGACACTGAAACCATCCTGTCGGGATTCAGAAAGGCCAGAGTAATTCTAACTGGAACTGATGCTGAGTCTGACGACAGCGACACAGAAGAGGAAGCAGCGCTCTGTTTACCTCTGGAGGTCGTGGAGTTGCTCAGAAGTGAAACCGAGGTGATTTGGAGTGAGATGGAGAGTTTGGTAAACTTGTTCTGTTCTGTTGTTTATGTTATAGTTTATCTGAAGAACTGTTCATATGTGACGTTAACAGTCTGTTGTTCTCTCTTCTACTGTTATTACTAGAACTTGACTTTCAACAGGAAATGTCAGTTCCTGGTCTCTGATTTTATAAAATAAATGTCCCCCATTAAGTGTGACTTATATCTGTTTTTTTCTTCTTCATTATGCATTTTTTTGGCTGGTGCGACTATTCTGGAGCAACTTATAGTCCGAAAAATAAGATAATTACTAATACTGAGTTACTGTAATGAGCTCGGCAGCCTCACTGTAAGCGTGGACTGTGAGCTGTGGGTGGATGTCATGGATACACATGTTAAAAAGTACACAAATCAAAATAATAGTTCAGCTGAGGAGACTTCTGTGTTTAGAAAGACAGATGTTTGTGAGAGAAATTAAAACAAAGCCACAAACTGAAGTATTCTACATATAAAAATAATTGGGTAGTCTTTATTTTAATAATTAATTAGAATTTTAATCAGTTGTTTGTTTTATGTTTAACGATTTTAATAAAAGTGACTGTTAGGTTAGTGCAGGTGCTCATTACGTCAATCGCGATCTACCAGTCGATCGCCAAGGTCGTGTGGGGAGATCGCCGTGTCTCGTCTCGGACTCGTGTTTGGACTCGGTCTTGTCTCTCACTCAAGGTCTGACACTCAACAAGTGTGATCATATTTCTGCTGCTGTTGGACTCTACGGCACATCACAAACACACACGCTCCCTATGCACGGCTCGTCTGCAACAGCGTGTGCCCTCGTGTACCAGCGTGCACCACAGAACAGGTTCAACTTCCTAAACATCCTACCTGTCCATCTGCCTCACGTCAGCACGCCGCCCCTCGCCTTTTCACGCTCTCGCTCCTTCCTGCGTACAGTGAACACAAGCCCCTCCCACAGTGCGGCTGATTAGAAGAACAAGACCAAACGTGAAGCAAAAACCAGTCTAAATTTGTGTTCCAGTGTTGGCACAAAGCAGGTCTACAGCATAGAGCGGATCTACAGAACAGACCTACTGCCACATTTGGCTGAAGTTGAAGTAACAAAAGTGCACAAATGCATCTGTGTTTGTCACGATGTGCGTTTGGTTTGGTAAACGTGCAGAGGCTGGTAAATATCACTGCAAAACCAGAAA